AGAATTCCTATCCCCTTAGAGGCCACAATTCTTCCTCCTGTTCTTCCATAAAACTCCTCAAGCTCCATTCATTGTTTGGCTGTGGGTGTATGCCTCTGTCTGAATCAGTTGGTGGGTGGAACCTCTTAGAGGACAGCCATGCTAGACTCCTGTCCGCAAGCATATCAGAGTATCATTAATAGTGTCAGGGATTGGTGTTTGAACATGGAATGGATCTCAAAATGGGTTGGTTATTGTTTAGCGATTTCTTCAGTCTCTGCTCCATCCCAAATCCTTGCATTTCTTGTAGACAGGATAAATTTTGGGTGAAAAGTTTTGCGGGCAGGTTGTTGTCCCTATTGATTGACCAGAGTTCCTGCCTGGCCACAGGAGGCAGCCTCGCCAGGCTGCACATCCTCAATTCTGTGAGTGCAGGTTAGATAGAACACCTGCATTGATTCTTGGGTGCCTCCTCTATCTCAAGTCTTCATTTCTTCCTGGAGATGCCCTCTACCCCCTCCTCCATTGCAGATTTCCATTCATTCTCACAGCCATCTGGCCATCCCCCACCCCTCCTCACACCAAACCCCGAAACCCCTACTCCCTTTCTGATCTCCTCTCCCACCCAGTTATCTCCTTCCATCTGCCTTTCACTGCCATTCCATTCCCTTTCCAAGTGAGTCTCAAGCATCTTTAGACCAGGTTTCTTATTTCAAGGTGTCTAAGATGCTCATTCAATCTAAAACAAAATCTTACACTGCCTTTCAAAATTAAAAAATTAAAAGCAACTAATTGAGTCTTGGGCATTTTCTCATGATGGGTCAGCACTGCTTTTAGGCAAGGTTTAAGAGGAGCCTTGGCTGTAGATATCAGGGGTTCTAGCTGGCTCTGCTTCTTACACTCTTCAAGTGATTTTGGCAAGTTTCCTAACACTTTTCTATGCTTGATTCCCTCTACTCTGAGGGAGGAATGACAAGATATGCAAAGTGCTTTAGCAAACTGAATGGGGGTAGGGTTATTGACATGACCTTTAATTTACCATTCCAGGAATGGGTGAATGCCTTTTAGACAGATGTCTTCAACAGCCTTTTTAAGGAGTGGCTTGTTAGTATTTATGCATCCCCAGAATCAGACTGATATGCCTCCCCTTCCTTTGGTCCCAATCCTTTGACCTCTATCTGAGTATCTTTGCATATGGAAGCTAAAGGTGAATAAATGCTGTCTTCCACCAACAGTTAATACTAATGTATGGTTTTTCCCTCCAGTGTATCCAACAAACCCACCTTCCTTTGTCCCCACACTTCTGGCCACAGGTGAAGGTGCTCCAGTCAGGAGAAAGGTGGTAGCATCCACGTTAGAGGTTATGCAGATGGTTGCATGCTCACGGGTGTTGAAGTGACCATATTTTAAAAGTCAATTTCAAATAAAGGTATGATCTTTGTAAATCTGACCCCTTCCAGTAAAATGTGCATTTACATCTATTTGGAATTTATAAATCCTGACAGATTCCACAATATTTATAGCCCTCCATAAAAAGCCTTTGCCAGTTTGTAGAGCTTTGCATTTGGCACTCCGGTATGCTTAAGAGAGTTTAAATAATAATAAATTTGGTGATTTATTCCACCTGGAACAGAAAGCTACCCACCCCCACCCTCCCCACCCTCACCCCGCCCCAGCTCATTTTGAAGGGGATGCCTATAAATAGTGGTGCAGACGCTGGGATCAGGAATAGGGAATTGAAATTTGAGAAAGAAGTACAGCAACATTTCCATTATCACTGATTTCTTGAGTATATTTTTAAAACACTTCTGTTCCTCACATAATATCCCTTCTCTCCTTTCTCCTGCCTCATCTCAATTATACCTGAGTCCCCCACACCTGTTGCCACTGTTCGGATTCAATTGCTTTAATGGGGTAGGGGGAGAAAGTATTGGCTGACTAGGTAGGAGCAGGCTGCCTCTAGGGAAGACAGCAATTCTTCAGTGTCCATCTTGTATTACACAAGAGTCAGCAGGTAACTGAGTGTCTATATCTACAGTGTAAATTAATTGTTTGAGATCCATCTCACACATCCAACAGATGATACAATCAAAAACTCGCAGTTCACAAAAAGAGTAAGAAAAGAGTTCTAAGTGTAATTCCAAGAGAAAGACTGAGAACCATATGAGAAAGTCCATTCTTCCAGCCAATGATGCTCACAAATGCCCAGAATGGAGTGAGGAGACTCCAGTAATCCTTCTTATCCATAGTTTCTTCTTGCATAGTGTCAGCTACTTGTGGTCAACTGGGGTCAAAAAATGTTAGATGGAAAAACCTAGAAATAAGCAATGTGTTTAAGGTTTACATTGTCCACTGTTGTTAAGTAACGTGATGGAATCTCATACTGTTTGACTCCATCCCACCCTTTGTGGATAAGAATAGCATTATCTTTGAATTCACACTATAGATCCTGCCCACTGATTAGTCACTGAGTAGCAGGCTCTGTTCTCAGAGAAGCAATCCCCAGCCTCACAGTATTTATATCCTACTAGCCTAGCACTATATCAAAAACATCCAACCATATCCCCCATTTATAGCAATTCATCACATGGATACTTTACTGTCTATATCTGTCTAAGAAGGAAGATGATATTAAAATATTTTGAGAGTGACCTCATTCATATAGTTTTTATTATAACATGTTGTTCTGCTTAATTATGAGTCATTGCTGTTAATTTTTTATTGTGCAAATCTATAAATATTTTTTTCATAGGTGAAATAGGGGTAGGGGGAAAAACATATATACTGGGCTTGGTGTGACCAGAATTTTTTCAGTATTCCCTAAGGGTCTTGTAATATATTCCCTGAAAATAAGGAAAAACTACTTACTGTACCAGAATAGTGGACTTTATATGTTATAATTTGCTTTTCTTTTTAAAGAATAATTAAGAAATTCTGTGTCACTCTCTATAGATTCTACTGTTGGAAGCTGAGAAGAGGCATTTAGTGTAGCAGAAGCAACACTACAACTTAGAAGAGGCATTTTAGTGTAGCAGAAACTGTATTACGACTGTGACATGACAAGGAGCTCTATTTCCAGCTTCTTGTTTGAGTGGGTTGTAAAGGAAGTAGCATTTGTAAGGAGAATAACAATCAACATCCACTGGGAGCTGCCTATGGGCTGGTGCAAAGTAACAAGCACACAAGTGTCTGGTTGGGTACAGCACCTTCTTCATCTCCTAGAGAACTGATTGCCCCACAACCTGAAGGCTCCACATCTACAGTCAACATCTGCAGTCAACCATGCATGGAAAGATGACATGAGGTGGGGGAGGTATGCAGAAAGCTACCAATGGCAAAACATGACTCTGCCCATGTAGAATACTGTGCTGATTCATTACAATAAGCAATGTGAATGTGCCCCATGTCACAGCCTTCTGCCATTTATAGGCTCTCATTCTGTAAATGCTCCTTGTTTGATGGTTTCATGCATTGTATAGTCAAGCCCAGGATGGTTGACTCTGCACTGCAAACATACAGATCATTCCTTGTCAATGTTCCCAAAAGAATGCAATGTAGTAACTGTTTACATAACATTTACATTTAAATCATCTCCAGATGATCTAGAGTATGTGGAGGGTATATGCAAATGCTTGGATTTTAGATTAGGCAGATTTGGGTATCCATGGAGGACCTGGAACCAATCCCTCAAGGATACTGCGGCATAACTATAGTGGGCTTCCGTGCCCCATTACTTGAAACACATTCTCAGTCCAAGACATTCCTGAGCACTCCTCTCATCTCTAGCTATTAGGATGCCAGATGTTTGGACCAAGCCCCAGAGTCTGCAGTGTACCACATTTTAATGATTTGTGGTGAATAAAGTAAATGTTTTCAAACCAGACTTTATGAAGCAGGGACCCAGTTAAGTATGATGGACTGGGGGCAAAGCCAAGAGGAAGCTGAATGTTAATGAGGGTATCCATGGCTTTAGAGGATATGGGTTAGGCATCTATCATTCATGGTTAATTCTAAAACCCTACTTGAGAAGGGAGCTGATAAAGAACCATGAATTACTAAGACCTAAATAAGAATGATATCAGTAAACATGCCACGCAGAAGGGGGCCTCTCAGAAGCCCTCAACCTTAAACAAAGAACTATGGGAATCCTGAGAGTGGAAGAAATAATCTTCTCTGGGGAAGAGCATACTAATTGATCATCTATTACCAAATGATCAGCCCTAAAAACTTACAAGTAACATTATATGTACTGAGCAAATTGTATTTATATATTTAGGAATACACACACACACACACACATACACACACAATTTTTCTTAAGGTGTGGATTTAAGAGAGAACAAGGGGGATACATGGGAGGAGTTGGAGGATAGAAAGGAAAAAAGAGAAATGATGTAATTATATGTTAATTACAAAAAATGTATACTAAAAAGAAACCATGTTCTAAGGAATATCAAGTCAAGAAAGGATTCCCCCTACCTTCCTAGGAGAAAGTGGAAGGCTTGAGTCATTAGGCAATTAGGAGTCTCTGTGTCTCTGTGATCACACTCCGGGTCTAACACACACGGGATAAAGAAACTGCTCTCATACTTTGAAGTCCAGGGAAAGACAAAATATTACTGTATAAATTTTAAAGGATTTATTTTTATGTAATGTTTGTGTGTGTTTTGTATGTGTGTTTTGCTTTCTGTACTTCTTGCATGCCTGGTGCTGTGGAGATCAGAATAATCCATCACATGCCCTGGTACTAGAGTTACAGACAGCTCTGAGCTGCCACATAGGTGCTAAAACTTGGATGTGGGTTTTCTGAAAGAGCAAGGCAGTGTCATTAACTACTTAGTCATCTCTCCAATGTACCGTAGTACCTTTTTAAAGGCTATTATAGAGAATCCAGTTGGGGAAAGTGAAATGTTTAGCGATTTTGTTATTGTTGTTTTCTGTCCTAGCTTGCTAGCCATGAGCAATAAGAAAAGACTGTTGCGCCAGTATTTAATGTGCCCTCCTTCCTTTGTCTCTCACAGGGCAACCCTTACATGTGCAATAATGAGTGTGATGCAAGTACCCCTGAACTGGCACACCCTCCTGAGCTGATGTTTGATTTTGAAGGAAGACATCCCTCCACATTTTGGCAGTCTGCTACTTGGAAGGAGTACCCCAAACCTCTCCAGGTTAACATCACTCTGTCTTGGAGCAAAACCATTGAACTCACAGACAACATAGTTATTACCTTTGAATCGGGACGTCCAGACCAAATGATCCTAGAGAAATCTCTCGATTACGGACGAACATGGCAGCCCTATCAGTATTACGCCACAGACTGCCTACATGCATTTCATATGGACCCGAAATCCGTGAAGGATTTATCCCAGCACACGGTCTTAGAAATCATTTGCACAGAAGAGTACTCCACCGGGTACTCCACGAATAGCAAAATAATCCACTTCGAGATCAAAGACAGGTTTGCGTTTTTTGCGGGACCTCGGCTACGAAATATGGCTTCCCTCTATGGACAGCTGGATACAACCAAGAAACTCAGAGATTTCTTCACAGTCACGGACCTGAGGATCAGGCTGTTGAGACCTGCCGTTGGGGAAGTATTTGTAGATGAACTACATTTGGCACGTTACTTTTATGCGATCTCAGACATAAAGGTGCGAGGAAGGTAAGAGAACACCTGCCCATCTTGAATGGAAAAAAAATTAAAAGACCATGTCCAAAAATTATGCTCACAGTTATAAAGTGATTTAGGTCAAATTTTATTTCCTTATTTCTGAGGAGCACCACTATGCAAGTAGGTTCTAAAGGCATTTGAGAGCCTTTGACTCAACAATGATTTGTAAACACACATTGGCTGCCACTCTTCAGGCAGTCTTTAGAATATAAACAAAAGAAAACATAAGTTATCTTACCATAAGTAATGGAACTCCCTAGGTGAGGTGATGTTAAATTCCTCAACATAGTGAAGCTGGTTGCTCTGTTAGAAGGTTAAGGGAAACAAGGTTATATCTTGCATTTCCCAATGCAAGCAAGAATCACTATGCAGTGTTAGACTTAAAAGCCATCTGAGAAAGAAAATCCATTTCTTTAATAATGGTAAGGTTCCCTTTTTTATTAAGGTTTTGGACTCTTTTGTATTAAATAATCTTCCACATATAAAATACAGACTTGGGACTCTTTATATGTCATGTACAGATGGTCCAGAGTTGTAACATAAGTGGTTATAATCAGGGATACCTGGTTTTAGAAATATATATTTAAAAAACCTACAATTACATTACAAAGAATTTGAAGATGTTTGAATGAAAAACTCCAATAATGAGAACAAACACTACCAACAAAGATTTTCATTCAGCAAGGCATGATGGGAATGGAAGCATGGGATAATGGGTGGGAAATAAAGAAATATAACCAAAGAAATAATCATTTCTAAGCTATGAAAACATGAGGATAAGTGTGTAAATGGTACACCTGGCATATAGATCTAAACAAACAATTGAATGGACCCACACAAATCGGGCTTCATTCAGTCGGCTGGCTTTCAGATTCTCTTAGGTCTTGCCTAGTCCTCAGAGACTAGAGGTGTGAGACTGGTCCTTCAGAGAGTTGTCTCCTCGTGCTAATGACTAGGCATTTGTTGCTGTTGTGAGTGTCATAGTGAGAAAACAAGATGCAATGGTGAGCTTTACTGCTTAGTGAGGCACCTAGGGTTTTAGGACATTACCTTTGGGAAAAAATTGTATGAATTTGTGTGTGTCTCCTCTACTTAGTGCTCTGTTCCTCATGGCTAGTGAAGAGTCTTTAGCTTTGGACCCTACTGTCACCTTTTAACCAAGGTCTCAGTGAAGGATGATGACAATATCTTAAAAGCAAGTTAATATTTTTGATAGATTTATGCCCTGGTATATTGATACCCACACTGAGTTTGGGTCCCCTAGCGTTAAGAGAAATGTGCCTGGATTAGCAGGAGATACCAGGCAGCGCAATAGGATGCTGTCTTCTCAGACTTGAGTGTGTGTGGTACCAAAATGCTCCATCACATTCAGGAACACCTTAGTCAAAGACTATCAGCTTCAAATGTGATCCTACTTAGTCTTGTTTGTATATACTATATGAAAATATTTGATATTTTTAACAATAGCACACCAACATCAAATGACAAATACTTACTATGACTAAAAGAATAAAGCTCAAAATTAATAGCCTTAGATTTACATGATTTTAATATATTAAATTCAGGTAGGTCAGTTTCTGGCAGTTTGAAGACTCCTTAATGTGTACTTGAGTTTCTAGAGATCACTATACCCTCAAAGTTTGATTTAGCCTTGTCAGAAAGGCAACATTTCAGAGGTTTTCAGTTATGAAATAACCAGTGCTAGAGCTTATATTTTGTTATTAGAAATTCATTTTTCTATTCTTGGATTCTTTTGAAAGAAAGTGTAAAACACATTTTCAAGCTAAGGACAGCTTTATGCATGCTCCATTGGAGTTAGACAGGCCATCTCCTAAAGGTGGCATGCCAAGAACACTGAATCCCTCCAGACTTCTCACCTCTCTCTTAAGCCTTGCCTTAGCAATGACCTCCAGCTGCTCTTCACTGACTGTGAGGGTTGAGCTGGACCCAGATTCTATCAAACTGCCTTCCCTGAGTCTCACCTCCGCTGTCATTCCTGTTCACCAGATAGCTGTGAGCTGGTGAGAAGCAGCTGGGCACAAAAGAAAGGTCCAGTAGAGGTGAGGCTCTTCCATACGGTGCTGCTCTGTCACCTCCACCCTCTGTCCAAATTCCTTGGGGGCAAACTGATGCTGGCATGTACTTCACTAGGCACCAGATGGCTAGAGTATTTTTAGTCCTGGGGGAGGGACTAAAGAAGCAAGGCCTGATGGCTCCGGCGTGTCTCCAGCTTTCAAGTTATGTAAGGAATATTTGCCTATGATGGAACCACTAAACGGAAAGCTGAGCAACGGTGGTTCATGACGCCTCCCAGCCTAGATACCATCATGATTATTGTCCCTTGAAAATTCCAGGATTAATGTCTTCAGTTATTCCTCCCTTAAACAACAGGTCACCTATACAAAGCTTGTCTGCTAGTTGATGATGTCTAAGAGAAAATTCTAAATTTTCCAAAATACAAGCAAGGGCATTGTTTCTCACACCTTGCCTTTACACATCATCCCATGATCACACAATCACAGAATCTTATATGTCTATACCTGTCTGTATCCAGGAATAATAATAATATTTTTCTGTTTGTCACTTCCAATACCATCCAAGCAAATTGTGGGAATTTATATGAATTAGTGTATAAAATTTGGATGGAGACCAGATACCAATGTTTGCAAAACAGGCAACAGAAAATATATTTTTCCATCTTGACATATTAAACTATGAAATGGCAATAGTTGAAAATATCTAATGTACATATGCATATGTAGAGTTTATATAGACTAGCATTATTTCACCTAAAAGCAATGTTTTGACTACCACTAGATTAGTGGATCATTTAGGCTCTTCTTGCCGTGAGATATATCCAGTATCTATTGAGTTGATGACAAAAACTATGATATTATTATAAGATGCATTTCTCTCTCGCCTCATGCTTTTTTCTGCCTTCACTTGCCTCTTCTTATCGAGTATTTATTAAGATAATAGAGGAAAAAGAGGAAGCAGTGCTCCTGGCAATCTCAGCAACTCCATAGCACTTACATTGTTCAATAAACCTAATAATCTTCACGGGCTAATTCTGACTTATGGCTGTCCTGCTTCTGTAAATCAGGGTGATTTTCTCTAGTGAATAATAGAGGAGTTCGGTGCGCCAGGACCTTAATTAAAGAGCTACTCTCTTAGTCTTGATCTCATTTTAATTTACAGGGTAATACTACAATAATATCACTAATGGAAGGTACATTAAAGGGCATCGAGTAGCATTAACTGTATTAAATTATGGTACTTGTGTTAATTAACTGCTGAAGCAAGATGGTTCTAATGGCCAAGAGTTCGTCCAGTGCATAAATAAACCGTACCCGAATGAGAGGTGAGATGGGGAAACAAAGAGGACATGTTTGTTCTGAACATTTTTTTTTCCATACAGACAGGGGATTAAATTCAAAAGCCATTCAATATATAATATCCAAAATGTTTCTGAGTTACACAGTGGGAGGTTTAGGTTTTCAAATACCGTGTTTTCTTCTGAGCATTCTTTCCACTATTAAGTTAATTAAACCTGAATACTTGTCAGATGCATGGACATTTATCAGAATATAAACTCTGTATTCTCTTTGAGGTAAGATTGAGGAAGTAGTGTGATTTATTATAATAGTTTTTTTTAAATCTGAAAGATAGATGAGCATTTAGTAATATGTTCATGTGTTTTTGAGATGTACTATCAGCAATGTATCAAAATACTGGCTTTGGACATTGGATAATAGAATTTCTCCTTTAACAGCATAAACAGGAAGGTAAACTTGAAAAAAATAGTCAAATCTGGTCAGCATCTCAGTTTCTTGTCTTTTAAAGTCCATTTCTAGTGGTAACTCATACCATTTCAATGCTATGCATTCCGTTCTCTTCCCAAGCAGCACCTACTCTCCTTCCTTTACAGGCTGGCTATCACAATAACAAATAGTTTCAAGTTTAGCTTCTCCATAGCTTATCTTTCTGAAGTTTATATTGAGTCCAGGCCAACGATGTTAGAAAATGTCAGAAATAAGTAATTAATAAATTTCAAGTGGATTTTGTTAAAGAATACAGTTGTATTTACCATGGATTATAATTGTTAGACACTTACTTTGACAAATTTCTAACATAAAAATTATATGTATGTATACATAAGAGACAAACATCTATGGGACTCAGTGCTCTCTTTGGTTTCAGACACTCCTTGAGAGTTTTGAAATATAACCTTTTCCCAGTTACAGAAATCAATTGATATTTTTGTTAATTAATTAATTAATTAATTAATTTACTTACTGTGTCTTTCCCATTTCCATTGCTTTCCCCTGAGAAGGATTCTGGGGACATTAGGATGGAAGCCTTATTTTAACATATATACCCTACCCACAATTTCTTGTCCTTCTTCACTTCCAAGCTCCCCGTCCAAGTCCCCTCCTCCAAAACCCCATCTCAACAAGTCTCTGCATAGCAAGTTGTAGTAAGACTAGGTGCATCTTCTCCTACTGAGGCTAGACAAGGCAACCCAGTAGCAGGAAAGGGTCACAAAGGCAGGCAAGGAAGTCAGAGACAGCTTCTGCTCCCATTGTTGGGAGCCCCTCATGAAGACCAAGCTATACAACTGTAAAATACGCATGGAGGGCTTAGGTCAGGCCTGGCCAACCCTGTCTCCTGTGCCAGAAGGCAGGGTCTGAAACAAGACAGTGTCAAAGCTATATTACCAGGTGTCACAGGCAGAAAATCTCCATACCTTCTCACTCCCAGGAGTCACACTTAGCACTCAGAACCCGTAACTATTTAAATGTCATCATCTTGGGGTTTTTGTAAGTAGGACAAGGCAAAGTTTTAAGTTAGCACACAAACTAGTTAACCTTGAGTAAGCAGGAATGTTTCTGAATGGTACTGGAGAGATGGCTGAGCTCCTCAGAGCCTCTCCTCCAGACGACCTGAGGACAGCTCAGAAGTATCTATAATTCCACTTTGAGGCAATCCAT